TCTGGCTGGGAGGGGCTGCACACAGGCCAGCTCTCGTGAAAACAACAACAGCCCAGCTCTGCTCGATGATTCCACAGCCCGGGGCTCCTGAGCGCCAGAGGGGCTCGGCGAGGCTGCGGCGGAGGTGCGCGGCTGTTTTGGCTGCCCCTCGTTAATGAGGAGGAGGGGGCAGAGCTGGGACCGGGGGCGGCTGTGTCACACTTGCTCAATCATGCAGGGAGACAGCGAGGAGGCCAGGAGCCGCTGGCACTGCCCGGCTTCTGAGGACGGAGCCTGTCGATGAGTTCTCTGTGTCGGAGGAGCAGGCGTGTGGACTGTGGTTTCAAAGTGCGCAGGGCTGCACATCGACAGGTCCGGTGGGCCTGCGTGGGGCTCTGGGAAAGTCCCAGGAAACACGGGGCTTTTCCTGGAGTTTCCTTCTCCTGCTGCAGAAGAGGCCTTCCCTGACGGAGGCAGTAACGACAGGGCCCACCTCCCGAATTGCTGCCCCGGAGCTGTGTCATTAAAGCAATTATCCAGAGATTACACGCAGTCATCCCGGATGCTCCATTTAAAACACATTCTTATTAAAAGCGAGGACTGCCTTTAATATTAGATAAACTCTCGACAGTGTGTTCAATAAATTATACCCCTAACGCAGGCCTGAAACATCTCTCCCTTGCCTACTTCTCCGTTAGACTCAAATGTTTAGGAATGTTTAAAACATTTTTCTCTCTCCCAGCCGGAACGTGACCCTAAGACAAACCAGGAGGCAACATCCAGAGGCTTCAGGGTGCCCCACTGGAACTCACAGAAGGGGTCAAAGGTCACCCGCTGAGGCAGTTCACCCCTTTCTCCTCAGCCCTCACACTCTGCGTGCCGTGAAAAATAAGGAAAGAAGGGAAAATCGACACCCTTCCTCATTGCGTGTGAAAGAAAAGATTGCTTCTACAGCCCCTTCACATAAAATGTGTGCACGTGTCTAAAGCAGAGAATCTCAGCCCCCAGAAGAATACCATCTGCTGCCATCATTTTCTTCCCTCGCTGTCACTCGCTCTTTGAGCTTCTTCAGTGGAAAGGCAAGGTGCCAATCACTGCCAACTGCAGGCAGGAACTGCTGCCTACACACCCAAGTTGGTTCAGAAAGATAGATAATTCAGAGGCGTGTTAGAGCTCATTCCAGCAGTGTTTTCTGACACAGACCCGGCGGGCTCTTCCATACCGGCCTGCTGGCCTGACACAGGGTCTTCCTGCAAGGTGAAGCACAGTGCACAGGGCCACTCAGGCTGCACACCCAGAGGCGCTTGCGTACTGAGGTCCAGCTGCCTGCACACACTATCAATCAGCCCCTGTGACCCAGGGGACGCAGGCCCGGCGCCGAGAGGGGCCGCGGGCGCGGGTAGCCATGCCGAACGATCACCTGCACGACTGCGCCCGACGGGCTGCGCCAACGGGCCGGACCAAGCCTCTCCGGGGCTGAACCATCCAGTGGGTCTTCAAGAGCGAGGCTGTCCCGTGCCCTGCCTGAGGGGGCTTCACGCTGGGACTGGCCCCCCGGGCCCCTGCTCCGTGCGGCTCTGCGTGGGCCGTGGCAGTGGACACCGGGAGAGACGGGAGGAGGAGGAGACGCCGCCCCCACACTGACCAGGGGAGCATGGCGCGGGACTTAACATGCGAGCTGCAGCCTCATACGGTCAACAAGCCCGTTGCATTCCAGAGTCCGACACCTAAGACTCCTGCTCTTTGCATTTTTGCAATTGAAATCGTTTGAATATCATTCCAGCTTTTTTTTTTTGAGGCATCACACAAAAAGGCTTTGAAAACTCAGCCTACATACCCCTAGGGCACTCAATCACATTCCCGTTTGAAAATTTCAGCAGCAGCACACTGACATATTCAAACCACCGGGGCTCTGCTCAGCTTATACAGAGAGAAGGGATTTTTTTCAAATGCTAGACTGGATCGTACGCAGTTTTTTAATCTCCTGAATACCTGAATTAATACTATGGCAAAAAAAAAAACAACAAATCAAAACCAGCAAATGTCTCTGACTGGAGGTGCACTGCCCTGCCAGCAGGCAGAGAAACAAACAAATCCTGAAGTAAATTATTTCAGTGAGGCGATTTTTTTTTCAAACAGCAGGATTCTTTTAGTTCAATAATTGCCGAGCTCTAGTTCTCCGGGGTGAGGAGAATTACTTCAAGCTTCAGAAATCAGGCTCGTGAGACCACTCAAATCCTCTGTCAACAGCATTTCAGGATTACAGAGGCCATGCAGATATGTCCTGTTTTGTCAAAATATTGCTTCTCCTGGCCTGTGCAGAGGCAATGTTTAGAATTCATTTGAAAAAATCGAACCTCAAGATTCACAATGTTGTAAAAAGCAGCCTGGTGTTATTTATTTGCAGAACTAAATGAAACTCAAAGCTGCTGAACGCCTCGATGTCTGTCTTGGACTGGCGAGGCCAGACCTGGAAGGGTTTGCTCCCAGGCGGTGTGCAGAGCACTTGAGGGTTCGAGTTCTCCCTCCCTGACAGCAGAGGGGTGATCCTGGGGAACACCGATGTCAATTACAGCACGTTGTAAAGGAGAGGAGAGGGGGCCGTCCGGCCTGTCTCACCCGTGAGGGAACTGATGCCAGAATCATATTTCCTGAAAGAAGTCGGAGTTCTGGATTCAACACCATGCCTTGTGTTGGACTCCACCGTCCAAAAGAAAGGAGAGATACTGAGCTTCTAACAAGGTTGCTTGTGAGGCCTCAACCTGCTCCTCCTTAATAATTGTGCTCAATCCTGCTGGGCTAGTGTATCAGGACTCCTACACAAAGCAAATAGCTGAGGCACAGGGAGAGTGGCAGGGACAACATCTCCATGGCATGGTCCATGGCATGGAGGCCAACGCTAACCCTGGACTGGACTGCATGCACTACATTCACAGACACATTTCTGCATGCACAGACGGGACTTGTTTGGATAGTGTCTTTTGAGCGCACCAAGCTGGGATGGTCATGCTCTGAGCATTCGCCCGGGCAGACTGGGAGAGCAGAGGGAGAGGTGACGGGGCAGGGGCAGCAACTGGAGAAGGGGGTGCTGGGAGGAAGACCAGAGGGCGTAGCGCTGCACTGCTCACACAGGAGTGTGGAATGATGCATAATTTATAGAAATGTATATCTTCCCTCATGATGCATCTTCTGCCTACTCTAATTTATTAGCCTTTTATTTACAACTTATTACATTTAGAGGACTGGGGCTCTCTAGCTCTAAGGGAGATATTTTTTCTTGTATTTAGAAAATAATAAAAGGCAAAAAAAGACATTAACATACAGAATGAAGAATCCCCACGAGCGCTGTTTTAGCTTGAATGCACATAGATCAAACTGTCCTGGCTGTGTGGAGAGCGCAGAACTGCGTCAGGGGGTTTTGCACCTGCGGATGAGCTGACAAGGCGAGGGGTGAGCAGAGCAGCCCTGGGGCGAGAAGCAGGGCCTGCGTACACACTCGGCGACGGGGGGGGGGGCAGCGCTGGAGCCCTGGGGGGCCTGATCCCCTTGGGGGATCCTGACGTCTCCAGCCGGGAGGCCTCAGGGGGCGGGGAAGGAGAAGGAGGCGTTCCCCCAGTCTGCCCAGTGACAGCCAGCCAGCGCTCACAGCAGCAAAGCCGAGCCAGGCCCGCGCGCCGGGACACAGACGGGAGTTCTGTGTTTTTCCATGTGTCAGTCCCACTCTCTTCAGGGAACATCTCCGAATGTGACTCCGTCCAACTGTGAGCCAGTGTCCACCTGTCTGTTTCACCCGGGGCGGGCGCGGGACACAGAGCGGACACAGGCAGGCAGCCGGAACGACGCGAGGCAGGCATGTGACAGACGTGGGGGCGACCCTATACTCCCAGCGAGGAAGCCTGAGGTAGACGTCCGCTGCTGCAGATCTCCTACATCTGTCGACAGTATCTGGGGACACCCGACCGCGGCGGGCTGACACACAGACAAGGAAAGAAACCGGCGCCTTAACAGCCAGCCCTGCATTCTGATCCTCCCCGTCTCCGAGAGCGGAGTCAGTCTCTCCATCTACAAGCTTTCCGCCCGGCTGCTCCTGGAAAAGGCTCTGTAACGCTCTGTAAAGAAAGGACTACAGGCCTCAGCCCCGCGCAGCAACGCCTTGGGCTTTTATTAGGCTACAGACGCTTTGAGGCGGCATTGCAAGGGACGTTACCGAGCCTTGCTGTGCCTTTGGTCTCTTGAGGAACGCCTGGAGAGCAAGCTCTTCGACTGAGCAAAGGTCTCTGACCGCATGACTACAACAGCCTTTAACAAGGATCGTCTTCTAGCTGTCTCGTCATGCTCGTCTCCTCTGAAGCCCGGAGCCAGGGGGTCCCCAGGACCTTGGCACCCTCCCTTCAGAGCCTCGCCAGACGACCCGCAGTGCTGGGGATGGGGCTCCCGAGTTTGACAGCTCCACTCTCCGACGTGACAGCAGAGGCCACCCAGGGGCAGCGTGTAAGCTGTCACCCACTTGGATGAAGTGAAATAACTTCATCTTTTTTTTGTACAATCGATAAATGCTGCCGTCCATCGCGCTCTCACTGATGCCTGAGAGAAGCGTGCACCAGGAAACGGCGGAGGAGGCACAGAGCGAGCCGGTTATCCCTGGGCGCTTCCCTGGAGTGTCTGCCTGGAGCAGGAGAATGAGATTCCCGGCGCTGTCCCATCTCCCTAATGCCTCTCGCCTAGCTGGGACACGTCTCTCAGCTTGCCGCCCACGGAGGACAAGCAGGTTTCAGAGCTGTAAGCGCCCCGTTTTGCATCAAGAAGAGGGAACGTGAATCGTCTCTTGGGCAGATGGAGCGGAGGAGCAGCCTCATCAATAAAGGGAGCCTTTCCCCAACAGGAAACAGGCGACCGCCGTGAGGAGGGGAAGTCTCTTCACAGAGCACATGTGATGTTTAATTAAGAAGGAGAGGTGTGGCACAAACTGTGTGCAGAGTATGCCGATTTCAGTACACAGTAAGGTACTCTCATTGGCTGGGGAGCAAATGGAAACATTTACTTATTCCAGGAAATTTTAAGAAACTTACTCTATGAAAATACTGTAAAATATTTGCGTTGGTAAAGCAGGTTTAATGTTTCATCGGCTTTTTCTACTGCTTACTTGATGAAGGTGCACTTTCAGCACACAGGCTCACGGAACAGAACCAGCCTCTGCCCTGCCGCCCGCCCGGCCACAGCTGCTCCCTCCTGCGGCCCCCTCGCTCCGGGCCCGGCGCGAGACGGGAGAGGGACCCCAGCGTGTCAGAGCACACCGCGAGTTCCACATGCATGCATCATGCAGGGCGAGGGGGGGGGCGGGAAGGGCTGCAAAGTCCAGGAAAGGGGCAAGCACAGCACTCGGAAGAAGAAGAGCTCTCCAACCTTACTGACGCTTCCTTTTTCCCCAAAAGGGCTGTAGAGGAAGGGAGGACACAGAACACACAGACAGCTTGGGGGGGAAAAAACGACTTCAGGTTTGACGAATTTCTGTTACAGAGCAAAAACCGGTCAAACACACTGACAGACGAGGGCCCGCTCACGACCCGATCGCCGGCGCCTCCTGGTTAGTTCTGCCCACTCACCCTTGCCCTCCCTGCACCCCCCCCCAGGGGCCGCGAACCCCCAGTTCTAACAAAGCCGCGCGGCCCCCACCCCCGGGGGAGGTCAGGATCTTCGCGGGAAAGGTCAAAGGCCGAAGCCCCTCGCCCAGAGTGGTCGCACAGAGCGACGCGTCCAGCAGCAGCCAGCTCTAAATCAGACAAGACTCCACAGACAAGACAAGGCAGCCTGGCTCACTGAAACAGAAGCAGGAAACGGACATTTTGAACAAGGGAGGAGGAGGAGGAGGAGGAGGAGGAGAATGGAAGACACACCTGCAGATGGAATCAGAAGTGGAAGACTGGCACTACCGTCGTGTGGGAGTCATGAATGAAACATGACCTTAATGCTTCATCTGTCTGCAATGCTAGGGGTGACAGCCGTGGCAATGGAACGGGATGAAGACGGATTGAGTGTCTGCAATCCTGCCCCCCCAGCGCCACACATATAATCACTCAGCTTGCCCAGCGCTGAGCCATCGGGCACGAGCACGAGAGAGCCAGGAGAGAGGACTCTTACCGCACGGGCCCTGCTTCACGGGGATGTACGCCCGGGCCTGGCACTCAGCCCTGCGCCGCTCGCAGTTGTTGCCGAAGGTGCGCCCGTCCGTGCCGCAGAGAGGACTGTAGGTGCCGTCGCACTGGATGGCCTCGCAGGAGCAGCGCGGGCCGCTGCGCTCCACCTGGCACACGGCGTTGAACGGGCACCCCTCCGGGCACTCGTCTGAGAACAAAAACAGAGCCCACCGGGGTCAGCGCTCCGCCAGCAGGGCAGCGCCGCCGCGAGGAATTCTGCAGGAGGAGCGCGTGTGCGCGGCGCCCCGGACTCCGTTCTGCCCGAGCCCACGCAGGGGGGATCTGGGCTGTTCCTGCGCTCCGGGGCTGGGGTGCTGGTCCTGCCGGAGTCGGGGAACTCACTGCCCAAGAGCTCAAACCCTCTGCTATTATTACTGTGTAATTGAGGCTGGAAACAGGCCCTTCCACCCTCTCCCATTGTTACCGGGCAGCAGCAGAGCCTTAAAAAGCAGCACTGAGCCCTGCAAAGGGCACATACTGAGAGCGTCTAACACACCACAGCACAGGCACACACAACTCTACACTCTGTTCTGTGCCGCTCAGCTCTGAGCAAAGCTGACCTTCTGTCCCTGCTACACAACACAGGGATGAACGTGAGACTCCCGCTGCAGTTCGATCCATGTTAGGAGGTGTGATGAGCCCCCGGGCCCCATATATAAATTATGCAACAAAAAGGCTGATGTATTTAATAAGACTTTAAATCCAAAATAACCTATAAGCAAACTGTCAAACGAAGGCAGCCAGAACAAATTAGCCAGCTCCTAGTGCTGGATCAATCACCAGCGCCAGCAGCTCGTAAACCCCGGACCGGCCCAGACCGCAGTGCAATGGGAGTCGACCTTCCTGCTCTGCTGCCCACATATATTTCACAGCCCCTGAAGCTCTCAGCTCGGCGAGCTTCACTCCTTGCCGTGGAGCGAAACTCCTTCGTGGCTGAAGGGCGTGAAAACAGACAGACAGCGGCTGGCTGCCGCCAGGGTCCAGGGGCTGCTGGGAAGCAATGACGGGGCTCGCTCGGAGGGGGACAGCAGCGGGGCGGCCGGCACGCTCTCACCCTCCTTCCGGCAGCGCCCGGCGTGCAGAACCTTCAGCTCCAGGCCCTGCAGCTTGCCCGTGCGCTCCATCCTGCACTTGTTGTCGTAGGTCTGGCCGTCGCTGGCGCAGACGGGCTCGCGGTCCGCCGGGCAGGACTCCGGCGAGGCGAAGGTCTGGGGCCGGCGGGTCCGCGGCTCCACGCGGCAGGCCACGTTCGGGTTGCTCCGGCTGTCCTGGCAGGGGTCTGCGGAGAGAGGGGCGGGGCTTAGAGACAGCAGCTTCCCGCCCGGGCGGACCAAGAGCAGGGAATAAAAACCCCAGCGACAGTCAGGATCCCCTTAGCGCCCGCAGAGCACGGGAATACTACACAGCGACGAGCACAGAATCCTTTTCCACCTCAGCTACAATAGCACTGCTGCCGGCTGGAGTAAATGGTTTTGTTATTCGGAATAATAACTTGTGCAATCTAAACTCTGCTCATTCACAGAATGAAAGTATCGCACAGGAATTTCTGGCAGAGTTACTACGGTAAGAGCACAGTCCCGCCCGCTGAGGCGCAGGGAGTTCCAGGCAGATGTGCAGTGTTACACAGTCACCAGGGTGACCCCTCCAGGCCACGTCAGTGTCCCCAGGTGCATCGACACACCGGTCCTGTTGACAGCCGGCGCCGGAGCGCTTCGTGAGGACTGCACGGTGACGCACAGTTCCCCCGGGCCAGCGGGGAGGCAAGATAATCCATAATTGCAATGTAATTTACAAAGACGGTTATTGAAATCAGAGAGGCAGCTTTACAGCTGCAGCCGGGCGTTCAAAAGCGAGGGGAGACAAAGGATTTATTTGCTGTCGTACAGCATTAGAACTCTGCCAAGCTGCGAGTAAGTCATTTGTAGCCCACAGGGGATAAAACAAAACAGAAAAGGCAGAACTGTTTCCAAGTCTCTGGATTAAAAAAGGGGGGAAAAAGGAATGACAACACGAACATAAAAGAAAGCACAGCTTCGCTTTAATCTTTGCACAGAGTGACGAGGATGACTGAGACTCACTTGCCAAAGTAACACTGGAGTCGGAATCGCAGACAAGCTGCCAATAATGAGAAAGCAGCGATGAGTCTATTACAACACCAGGGCCCACACAGCTAATGAGCAGCTATACAAGAATGCAACTGATCCTTTCTCCCACTGCCATCATTAGATAACAGATCCTAGCTACATTTTCCCGGGACTGTCTTCTGAGGCAATTAAAGAGACACTGTACAGACACCCCAAGAGTCAGGTTCTGTACCCCAGGATCACGGGCTGAACCCCCAGCCAGTCACACCACTAGCAGAAGATGCTTTGCGTCTGGACAATTTGTCCTTCTTTCTTGAGGTTTCAGCTCGTGACATTTTTTATTCCGGTTCGTCTGACATATTCTGCTGCTCAGCAGGAAGCAGGAGTATTAATCTCCACGCTTTCAGCCCCGGCGTCTTTTCCCTGTGTCTGGATTTCAAATGGAGGCCTTCGGGTGGGAATGGAGGTATTTAATGTGAAGAATGCCAGGAACAGTGAGCACGCCGCCGCGCTACGGAGACGGATATTTCAACCAACAGGCCCCGGGGAAACGAGCACGTTCACTCACACAGCAAAGAAGGAAGAGGCGTGAGCTGGAAACAAGGAGAAAGAAACTGAACCCAGCGCTCGATAGCGTGAGAGTTTGGCAAAATCAGGAGAGAGGAGCTGCTGCTCGGAAACCCCGAAGACCATGGAGTGCTCTCTCCCAAGCCCCGTCGTGAAGACCAACGACAGGCCCCGCTGGTCCAGCGATTCCAGCAACGAGCTTCTTCTGGGGCTGCTGAGCCCCGAGCCCCCCGGACAGGCGACCGAGACTGAGCGGACCGAGTGGGCGGCGGGAGAGGCCGAGTCACCAGCGGACGGGGAGGGGGAATGCCAACTCACCGCAGGGGCCGTCGTGCTCCTTCCTGATGTTCTTCTGCAGGCGGCAGGCGTGCTGGTTCAGCTGGCACTCGCTGGGGTAGTCCTGCCCGTCACTGCCACACACCCGGTGCAGGGGCTCCTGCTCGCAGGACAGCGGGCACATGCACTTGGCGGACTGGCCGTCGGAGGACTGGACGCAGGTGCTGCCGTAGCTGCAGGTCACTTCGCTGCAGGGGTCCTTGGCTGAGGAGGGGGCAGAGGGTCAGTGCCAACGGCCGGTCCCTGACAGGCCCCACATCAGCGACCTCTGCCGCCGCTGGACCTGCAGTTCACCCTACGGCCTGCAGAGCTCCTGCTCCTGCCTGACGTGTGGAGGCATGATGTATGTGGGGGACAGCATTGCTCATCCTTCACCCTAGCTGCAACCCTGCAGGAACAAATATCTTTCCACGCCTGAACAGTCGCCCATCACCTCTGTGCAAATACACTGCAGACACGGAGGAAGGAGCTGCCTTCTAGGTGTGACGGCGTGTCAGGGTTGTCCTCCTCTGACTGGGAATGTCAGACAACTAGAGAGGGTGTCATCTGCACAAGGCTTTCGTCTGGCACACGACTAACAGGTTAACAAGCCCTTCATTTCCTGCGCCGCTGCCATCATCGCGTCACATCATGAAACGCCATGAAACTCTTTCGACAGAGCCTGGCTTGTTCTCCCCTTCAGCTGAGACGCCTCTCTACGCTGGCCTGATTGACGCTTACAGTGCGCCATGCGCAGTCCACACTCCTGTAGGGTAATGTTTATCAAACACGTATAGCCGAGGAGAGGCGATGAGGCGAGGCGAACAGGGGAGCTGTACATGTGAGGGGATTTATAGGTACCGTGAAATTAGATGTGCAAGTTGTAGCACTTTCCCCATCCATGCAAGCACTGTGTACCAGGAAAGAAAGAGAGCTATTTACACTGTAATTGTATACAGAATTATCTTCATACTGGAACCCATTAAATTCAAGTCGGGCATTTTTTTATTGCGGAAAATTTTGCAAAAAATCAACAAGGAGATTGGATTTGAATGCTAAGAGGACAGCCCATTTAGCGGATATTTCCATGCACGGTGTTAGCACAGATAAGCCTCACTTCAGCCACGGATGTGTTAGCAAATTGCTTGTAAGAATGTGACTCGTTTTATAAGCAATAACCACCAGGGACTTTTCCCGGGAGATCTGATGAATCACGAAACTCCTTTTTTCTTTTCTAAAAGCACCCCTGCTTCCTAATCAGACTGCTGCTCCAGTCCAGCAAGTGGCAGGGCTGTCTGCCCGCAAGGATGTGGTCAGAGCTCTGCCAGGTTTAAAATTTTAATGAAGGGGACGCAGGGAGATCACACAGCTCCAGGCAGCAATAGCCGAGCAACAGAGGGGAACAAGGCAGGGGGAGGCGCCGGCTAACTTCTGGCACAGAGAAACAAGAGCCAGTGCCCTGCTGCACTGCAAAACAAAACCTCCTCTTGGCTCTTTTGATAAATGCTGTATGATTTACACTAGATTTATTAATACTTCATGGCAGGGCTGGTTCGGGGCGACTGGTACAGGGCTGGTAGAGGGGGGAGAACCTTGGGATCCACAGCTCAGTGTCGCCCCGGAGTCTCGCTGGAGACCCTGCCCTCCTTTTCAGAGACTCTTATATCAAAGCCTTTTCGTTCTCCTTCTGCTGTCACCTTCTAACGTTCAGCTTCCCTCCTCTAGGAGCGGGCTGGAGGGAGGGGAGGTGAAGCGGCCCGGCGGCGCTCTCGGGCTCTGCTGTGCTGTCCGGCGCGTGTCTCCGCTTCTGCCGGGCTTTCTGATTGGTGTCCACTTCCCAGTGAAGCCCCTGTAACCCCCAGCCCATCTGGCAGTCCCGAGCACAGTGGGAAAACGGGAGAGCGAGAATCGAAGCCAGCTCCGTATGACACTGCCCGATGCTGTAGCTGCCCCGTGCCAGTCACAGGACCAGCGGCCCACAGCAGGTGTGCTTGAAGGTGTTCCCTGCTAAATTGCCAAATTGAGCAAATGTCCTTCGGTATGGAAAAAGCCAGGGAAAGGCTGTCTGTCGCGCACCTCTATCGGTGGAAGAAAGGGAAAGGGTGTGCAGAGACCGGCACACCCGGGACGTGCTTTAAGATTAAACTGGATTAAAACCGCCTGCAATTACAAAAACATGAAATGTGGCTTTTGAGAAACCAGGCCATTATCTCTCACCCTTCTCTCCCAGCCCCCCACAGCAAAGAGCTGAGAGCCACAGTCTCTCATGCAGATCCGTTCTTATTGCAAAGCAGCAACACGACGTTAAAAAGCTCTCGTCTGCAAAGGCAGAAGAAACTAGAGGGTGATTCGTCAAATTCCCAGACAGTTCTTCTGCTTGTCTGTTTTGTCCCCTTCTCTTCTCTAACATCTGACGTTAAACTGCACAACACGATGCCGATTCAATTTTACGCCAGGATTCAATAAGCATCCACACTGCACAAACACAAGGCTACACAAACAGAGAGAAACTAGAAAAAATAATGAAGGAATAGAAGCACTTGGAGCTCTGCAGGACTGAGAACTGTCATTCCCTCTCTCTCTGCACATTTCTCACTTGTCCCCCGAGCTGAGACGTGGTCTTGTTTAAGGAGCAGGTCGGTACTGAGGAGCCCTGCCGGCCTCGATGATTCCTCTTTCTGGGACGGAGCGCAGTGGCATCTGGGGAACTGGCGGGGCTGGGGGTGAGACTCAGATGATTGGCCAGAGGTCCAGCTGGGATGTCCCTGCAACTCCTTAATTGGCAACAGCGCAGGCAGGCAGAGCGGTAGGCTTGGAGCAGGCCTGTGAGAGGGATGGAGCTGCAGGGCAAGGGGGGATGGCGTTTCCAGAAAGTGGGACCATCGGGGCAGAGATTCAAAATATTCATATAATATTAATTTCGTCCCCAACTAGGGCGGCGATTTGCGAGAAAACGAACAGGCACATACATCAGTCTCAGCTGTGTGAATCTCCTCTTCTCTATTCCAAGCTGTCCCAGTTTCCTAGCAGTGCCCTGATTGCTGTCAATCCTAGCCACTGCCCTGATTCACACAGGAGCCTCTCCAATCTCAGCTCCTAGAGTTAGCATCCTGAACACGTCTCTGCAAAAACACTTGTGTTTCGTCCCTGAGAGCACAATGCTTTTCTCTTGTCCAACAGGCTGCAAAAGAAAGAGGTAACATTTGACTTAAGAACTCGACTTCTTTCAATACTGCAGGCAATTTCAGCCCACTTTTCCTCGTTAGGTTTATGTCATTTTTGTGCAGCGTCAGGTCAACGGAATTTATAATAGGCGCACAATGAACAGAAGAAAATACTTCTGTCTGGTCGCAGTAAGAAAAGCACCATTGTCTCTCCCACGCTGCTGTTTACAATGTACTGCCCTTTGTGTGTGCGCGCATCGGCTTGAAGCCGAGGAAACATTATGCAAGGAAATCTGAAAAGTTGTAAAGTAGAGTTCCTGAGCAGTATTAGGCTTAGCCAGCAAAACATCTTCTTTCTTTAAACGAGCGGTAATCTCTGCTTATCTCTCTCAAGCAAGATGTCTGGCCCCGGTCCCCGCTAGGTAACAGCAGACAGGGTTTGTTTAACAAGTATCACTTCTCGGAGTGGAGGGAGCACAGGAGCGAAGGGCCAGACAGCATTCAAAACCTCTTCTTATCGTTTCTGTCATGTGAGCGGCTTCCTTCGAGCCAGAAGACTCCGCCGCTGCGGAAAGCACCAACAACGGGGGCAGGTGGAAAGCAGCCTCACAGATTCGCGCACGTCTTTACTCTTCAGCTGTGCGAGCGATCTCCCGCAGCCCGAAAGGAACTGGACTGGGCAGCAGCCAACAGCAAACTCCATCAAGAAAAACAAATGAATCTGCTGCCACCGAGCCTCTGTACACTCATAACCCCAGTGATCCCAGTGAGCTCGTCATCTTCCCGTTTTCCAAAACACAGCAACCAAGGCAAGAGGGAATGTGAGAGGAAAATGAAAAGTTGCCAAGAAAAAGCACCTCTGGCACGACGGGGAGGAGTGAGTGAAGCACAGGATGTTTTGATCCTTTGGTAAATGAGCCCTTTTCAAACAGCAGAGCAGAAGTGCTTTTCCACGGCCGACCCATGGGAACGGCGGGCGGGAATCGCTGCCAGTGTGTCCATCGGAAAGCAGCGGAAGACTCTCCCCGAAGCCTGCGCCACGTCCAGCCGGTGCCAAGCCAGGTCAGAGGTCAGAGGTCACCTGAGGTCACACGCCGGCACATGGGAAGTGTGCTGGAAAGACCCGGGTGCTCCACAGACAGGTGGGCAGGGAAACAGGGAAACGAGGATCTGTACATTCTTGGCGCAGGCCGGCTGTGTTTGCCCTGTCGGACGGAACCATCATGACCGGCGACCAGCGAGCAAGAGTGTGCGCCCATCTTCGTCCTCTCCTGGCTCCGGCCTGGAGATCGCAGGCGGCAGGCGAGCTTTCTTACCGGCGTGCGTGTGAGCGCAGGGGACGGCCCCACCTGAAGGGGGAGACACGTCCCTCGATAGCGCTGGAGAAGAGGAGCGGGCTTAGTGGGTGGGGAAATGAAATCCAAAACCGTACTGCGATTAGAGACCTGAAGGAAAGAGACATCTCATTGCTCACGTTCGATTGAGCACCAGCTGCAGCAAATCTGTTTGCATTACAAACCTGGCAGAAGCCCTGAAAAACAAACTTCTCTCTAACAGGTATTCGATATCTGCTTTCATCGCAGTGCTGAGGCATCACCTCATCGAGTTTTTCACGCCTCGGTGCTGGAGCTGTACCCCCGGGGGGGCAACGAGCGCGCTCACAGGCCGGGGACGCCCGGCTGACGATCAATTCTGCCTCCCGCGGCAGACTGAGGAGCTGCCCTCGGAGTGTCCGCCGTTCCGCACGGCTGGGGCGCGGGATCAGCTCTGAAAGGCGCTCGATGCCACCGGAGACCATGTTTACTGGTCTCGGAGCTCGATCTGATGACAAGAGCCTCCGGCCCCCCGATCCCTCCCAGGCAGACCAATTCCCAGGGCTCCTCGACGCCACGCTAGCTTCTCGATTTTCAATCTCGATGTAATAACTGTGTAGATTAGCTGTTTTAACGATTGTAGAAGACAGTGATGCACTGCGTAGCACAGCAAGCAAAAGGGCTTGCTGCAATCCGAAACGGACCCTCCAACTCAAAGATCTCTCGGACAGCTCCATCCCTCACTCCGTAACAGCCAGTAAAGGACTCCCCGCCTTAACCCTTCAGCTCAAGCATGAAGTGAGTCTATTTCAGGACAGCCAGCGCCACAAACACCAAGTGAAATGAAGCAGTTTGTGAGCAGTTTGGTCATTTCAAAGACCTCCACTGCTTGCAGCATAAAGACCTGCATCTGTCCCCCTGTCCTGCGAGGTTCTGAGTTCCTGACTAGGTGTGGCTGAACTGCTGCCAGTGGGCGGCAGATATTTGGGCCCTGGCGGCTCTGAGCGCGTGACACTCCGCAAACACACACACACAGATCCCAGACCCCCGTTCCAGGTCCAGTCATTAGGTCTCCTCCGCAGCCTCGGCAGCTGCGCTGCTCCACCGCATAACTGCAGCTCTTCTGCCGCGCGCGGGCAGCCCTGCGGCGTAGCTGATCCGACACGCGCCCACTGTGCGAATTGAAAAAAAACCCCACACGCGCACACAGGAAAACAACAGTCCTGGGCCCTGTGACTCACGCAGGGAGGGCCGGCATTCGCTTGCACAGTGAAGTGCTGGGAAGAGTAGTGGCTGATGGTACTGGGGTACCGCACCGCAGGGCGCAGGCAGCAGTGGGGGTGTGGTGTATTTGGCGACGCTCCACCTACCGCAGGACCCCTTGCGCACCACCTTGAGCCTCCTCTGCGTGGCGCACTGGGCCTTCTCCAGCTCGCACTCGTTGGAGTAGGTGGAAGAGTCGGAGCCGCAGACCGGCGCCACCACGGGCGGGCAGGTCTTCTTGCACACACACTCCCCCTTGGAGGGGTCCGCGGGGTCCCTCTCGCACACCGCCCCGAATCCGCACAGCATCCCTCTGCACCCTGCAGGAAGAGGAGACAGAAGACACTCAGGACCCAGCCTTCGCAAGCGCTTCGGTTCTCGGCGAGTTGGGACGCCCTCCCCCGTTTCTCCGCGCCTGCCTGGGGGGGCGTCTCCCCGCCCGACCCCCCCCACCCCCGCTCACCGCCTGCGTCTGCTGTGAGGACACCCCACCGCACTGCAGGACACCGTATCCCACAGCTAGAGGAGCAGCCGGCTCCAGTGGACATTTCCATTCAGTGCAACAGGTGACACTTCCCTGCACGGAATATCGTGTGAAGTGTGAAGCCAACACAGTGATCGCGAGCTTGAATCGATCGTGGGATCCCTATAGAATTCAGGTGCTAGCACTGTCCCCTCCAGGCTCAGGAAGACCTCATGCTACAGTACAGTAGTTCTGCTTCTGGGCTCTGGGAAGCAGCGCAGGATGGGCCGGATGCCATCATCAGGTGAATTCAGCTGCACCTTCCTGAGCCTGCCCACCCGGACGAGCCCTGCAGCGTGTGCCCGGCTAAGGGCAGAGTGAGGGGCGAGTCAGCGCAGTGAAGTCACGGCGAGGGTGAAGCGAGGAGGAGCTGGGGGGGGGCTGTGGGAATCCTGGGTAAAACACACACACAGCGCAGGCAGGGCCAGCGCCCCGGACCCTGCAGAGCTCCTGTGCAGACCTCCAGGGCCCGACTCCCCCCAGCGGCTGGGAGAGGCAGACTCCGGCAACCCCCCGAGCTGACAGCCCCCCGCTACGAGTCTTCCCACTGCCATCCCAAAGAATACCAGGCTGTCCGTCACAGCCCAGTCCCTCCCCTCGAGGCAGGACGGCCTCTGCTCTGAAAAGGAGGGACGGAGGTAGGAGCCAGGGTGAAACAAAGACAGGCAGACAGGAAGAGCGCTACAGCAGCTATACCGAGAGCCGCAGGAGAGCGCGTTACTGAGGGGGAAGGTTATGTGAGCAGGTGCTCCGTGCTCTGCAGGCACACATCCTCCCTGGTCCCGTCTCCTCTTGGAGAGCACGAGCGGCCTGAGCACTGCCTATGCGTGCCCTTCCCGAAAACCCCAGGGCCGGCATCGCGGCTCTGCGGGCCTCCGCCAACGACCTCTGCAGACGCCAAGGCAACGTCCTTCCTCTTAACCGAGTTCCTGCCCCGTGTCGAAAAGAAGAAGACATCGCAGTACAGGTTCATAAGAGCAGCTCCAGACCGAAGGAGGCCCTTCAGCCAGTTAGCCTGTTTGGCAGTTCAGTAGTCAGCTGGCTCTTGTTTGTGCTGGAAGAAGCCCAGAGTTCCCACTTCTGGTTCCTGTTCTCTTCTGATTGTGAAGACGCCCACAGGGCGAGCTTTGTCAGAGCCCCAGGGGATTGTGAGTACCTGTAGCAGGTAAGGGTGAGAGGAGAGGAAAGATCCGCAGGGCAGAGCAGAGAGCAAGATCAGTTTTGCCACCTTAACCAGCGGGAGAGAAGACACAGAGAACAGCGGAGAGCCTGCAGGGCCCCGCGAGGCCGATTAGAACACCTGAGCATCGAGGTTCAGCTCGACAGTAACAGCGTTAATGGTGACAGCGAGCTCCCCTGTCCCAGGCTGTCTTTGCGCACAGCAAGGGGAGCTGACTGGGACTGCTTTCAGCCTGCAGAAGCTCCTCCACCACCCACGGAGAAGCAGTGAGTCTGCCTGACAGAACCGCGACTTCCTGACTCCAGGACATGGCTGTCCTGGTGCACTCTCAGGATTATTCATGATAATTCGTAGACGGCACAAGCACATTCACCCAAGACTTTTTGCGGAACTAAACGGTTATTATAGAAAATACAGGCTTATATTAAATCAAGAAATTAATTAGAGGATTAAACCCAAAGGTGTAAAAACTGCAGGTGCAATATTAGTACAGGGTAAAAAATAACTGAATGCTGCATTTCAGAAAAGCTCATTTGTACAGTTAATGACAGATCTTAATAACCCGAATCAGCTCATTACTGGTTTAATAGGACCAATTTCACAGCTTCTTCCAGCTGCTCAGTGGCTGGATCTCTAAGGAGACCCCAAATGTGGAACACACCGGCCCTCAGGGGCCGAGGCTGGACGGCCCTGGTTTGAGGGCTCCTGAAACTGCTTTCAAAGAAATCAGAAAGGGCGAAGATGACAAGGAAGTTCAAGAAACCCTCACTCCAAAGGGGAACAGAAAAAGGACACTCACAAGGGGCAAATCCAGATGTTTTGATGTTGCCATAAGCTCCACAGCTGTTGAACACTAAAATGATAAAATAGGATTCACAGTCAGAAGCTTTTTTAATGACTCCAAATGAATAAACTGAATGGTATCCTGTAACCCTGCTGGCTGACGACTGCTTCCGAAGCAGATGGGCTTCCTCCGTGCCCGGAAAAGGAGCCGGAGGGGAGATCTCAGATTCAACATTTGGACTGTGTGCTGAGCGAACCGAAGCAGATCGCCCTGGCAAGGCCCGGCTCTGACCAGGGCCTCTGGGGGCTGGACGCCGGGCCCCTGCCCTCCCTGGCGCGCCGCGGCCCGAACCGCTGCGCTCTCGGCCGGATCAGTGCCATCGGAACGACAGCGGCTGGCTGTGACGACTGGATTGCGGGGTCGTCGTGGAAACGGTCATGGAAGCTAGTTCAGCAAAATGGGGGGCAGGGGGGTTTAAGGAAAACAAACAGAAACAAACAGCACACACCCCCTGTCTGCACCCCAACAAGCACACAGCCCCTGTCTGCACCCCAACAAGCACACAGCCCCTGTCTGCACCCCAACAAGCACACAGCCCCTGTCTGCACCCCAACAAGCACACAGCCCCTGTTCTGCACCCCAACAAGCACACACATCCTGTCTGCACCCCAACAAGCACACACCCCCTGTCTGCACCCCAACAAGCACACAGCCCCTGTGCTCAGGCTCAGGTCAGAACCAGAACCTCATCTGTCTGCCAGCATCAAACAAACTGTCCAGCCCAGCAAGGCCACAGCGGGGCTCTGAGTACCAGCACAGAGAGGCCTTCAATGACAGGCAGGGCAGTTCTGCAGCAGGGAGGGGGGCAGCGCCCCCAGCACGGCCTCTTCTGGTCTGACCGCACTCATGCCGAGCAATTTCACCGGCACAGGCACAGGCAGCTCCTCTACAGGTACTGCTGCACACCCACTGGTGCTCCAGGCACGCAGCTGACAAGCTCTCGGGAGCCAGAGGAGACGCCCACCACACTTCCCAAAGGGCGAAGGAAGCAGCAAAGAGGATCAGCGGAGCTCCTGGGGATCCAGGCGCACTCATGCACAGGCCCACACAAACACTACAGCCATGCAACAGCGGCCAGCTGCTGGGCCCCCCGCGGACTCTCCGGGAGGAGCCCCCTTCCCTCCCATCTCCCTGCGTAAACGGCAGCACCAATCCCAGCGCCTCAGTCTCCTCACTGAACTGGGAAATGGCTCTTCCCCAGCTCAACGGGGATTGAAATTTACTGCCAGAGGATCTCAGTGAAACAGTCCCAAGCCTCCCTTAAAAAAAAAAAGATAAATAAAATGAAAACTAATAAAACACAACAAGTGCAGAGCCCTGCCTGCGCGGAGACAGCGGCAGTGCCCCTGAAGCTCAGAGGGGAACAGGAGTCCGGCACAGTCCTCTCTTTCCAAAGATGCAAGCAGGTACTCTACCAGCAAACAATTAAGCCCTTGTGGAAATCAAACCCTTTAACGGAAGGAGATAAGGTGTCGTCTTCTCGTCTCTCACACCCACCTCCTACTTTCCTACATAACTGGCGTGTCTGTTTGGTCCAGGGAGGCTGTATTAATAATTCAGAGATATTAGAAGCCCCGATTCTGTCACCTTTCATCTCCAACACAAAAGAAAGCAGGCGAGCTCCAAACAGATTACAACTTCCTGAAATATACATGAATAAACCAGCATCGCCTTTGGCAGGCGCACCGCGGGATTAAATTATTCACACAGTCGAGGGCCAGCGTCACAGTGAAGTGCTCTCACTCTCTCTGCCTCCATCTCCACCGTCCTGCTTTCGGTTCACTCTTCCTCCTCCCTGTGACGAAGCTGTGTGGCTCCCCAGGAAAGTGCTACTATCTCCAGCGCTGCAGGCAGGGAAGACAGGGATGGGGGCTCGCTCCTGACGATGTCTGCCCTGAGCCCCAGTTTCTCTGGGTGGCTCTGTGCCCCAGCAGATCCAACTGGAGTGCAGCAGAACTCAGGCCAGCTCTCTCCAGCAAACCCTAACAGAACCCAGCAGAGCCCAGCGGAGCCCCCAGCACAGACGGGCTGCAACACAGACGCAAGCTCGGATGGCAGCCCGAGTAAAGCCTATGTGATCTCACAGAAAGCAGGCGTGGTCAATACAAAAGCAGATCAATAACCACAATTCACTCTATATTCTCTCTCACGGCCCGTCCAGAAAAAAAGAAAGCAACTGAATCAATAATAAACTTGTTTTTAAACTCAAGTGCCAGTCACAGTACAATACGGCCCTTTAAGCCCTTCGGTATTTTGACAAGTGCTAGCTCATTTAAGCTGCTGTCACACTGTACTTCTTTCTGGCTGTTTAATAACTCTCTCTGAGGAAAACAGAGCATTTAATTTTAACTCGCAACGTGCTTTTTTCCCTATCAGTCATGCTTCGCTTCCCTCCCACAGACACACACACATCTGGGAACTCGGAGAAACAAAGGACGCGGTGCCAGTTCTGCAAGCACACACTGCTGCGCGCTGTGTAGGATACGGCGCAGAAACCGATCACCGAACTCGCTGTGTGCCGCGTGAATCAAGTGGCATCCGCGGGCTCGCTGCTCGTGAATTTCTCTTTAGTCACCTCACACCCCTGGGAGATTGTGCACATGCAGGAAATGACGTGCTGCAGCCAACAGGAAGATTCAATAACCACGGCCCTGCTGCTGAGCCCCCGACCCTCTCTAATTTCTCCCCTTTCTTCTTCTTTAAACATCCTTGGCTTTGCATTGTAAAAAAAAGCTTCAGGTTTCTGATCGTTTCCTCTTTCAGGCAGAGATTC